ATGTGAAACGCAGATCTTCCGTGGGTCCCCTTCCTTGTGATGGTCTGAGTGTAGATAGCCTGAAGTGGCCTTTGGAACCATTTCTGGGGTAACGTCCTGGGGGAGGTGGTTACTAATACTAAAAAATTCCCCTTCTTGTTCCCAATTACAGATAGACAACCTGAACGATTTGCATTTCACTTTTTGAAAAATAAAGTGCAATTAAGCCTGTATCTTTTTTTTGTCGTTGCTTTTGCATGGGCGTTTGAAATCTAGCTTAGCTCTGATTCTTTGGTCTGGAAACTCTACTGTGGGGAGAACTTTCTCCTGGGAAAGGAGAGAAGGTCCCTTCACCTTGTGACTGCAGCTCCTGAGGCTGTCACGTCCCCACGTGTGCAAGTCCCCAGCCCTGTGCTCATGTGAGAGGCACACATCACTTGCCTGGTTCTCCACGAGGCTCCATGGGAAGTGTTTGCAGCCGCCTGCTCTCTCCTAAGGTGACTCTGGGTGTCTCCACCTGCCGTAGGCAGCTGCGGAGGAAAGAGGACTGTAGCTAATAGAAACCCTCCTGTGCCCGTTTGCCCTGGGCATAGACTGGGGTGTGGATTTGAAACTTGTCTCTCTGTACGGCAGGCGCAGTGGGTAGCACAACTGCTCCCTGCCTTGGTACCTCCCTTTACCTTAGCCTATAGCTTCTAAGATTTTTATGGCTAAAGCTTAGTAGCTAAAAATAAAACAGTTTTGCTCTTCTGCACGTGCTTATGAGGGCAGGAGGGGTGAACGTGAGAAGCCTGTGTGCCCCCCATGGAGGTAGCAGGCTCTGGGGCTCAAGGGCCCTGGCAGTGATGGACTTACCTAGTCCAGGCCTGGGACGGATGCCTTTGTAGGGGGCTGTTTTGGCACGTGGGTGCTAATCTGCAGGCAGGAGGAGGGGGTATCATGGAGGGCACAAGCTGCACAGCAGAGATGCCCCCAAGGTGCTGCTGGGTGAACGTGGGGACTCGGCACCCAGTTTCTCCAGGAGCTCGGTGGAGGTGAGGACCTCCCGCCCTGAGGTTCCCTCCTCCGTGACTGCTCCTCTCTGCTGCGCTGGCTTCGGAGACAGAGGCAGCGTGTTGTGCTCCCGAATGCCTTCCCTGAGAAACTGTCCCTGCCTTGGGTACAAGGAAGGAGGCAGGAGAAGAGCGCTGCGCATCAACCTGTGTCTTTAATATGATCAGGAAACGTCTCATCTCGGGGCTGGCGCAGGGCCCCTCCTGTGCCCTTAGATCGCATCCCTCCGTGCGCACGTTACAAACTCTCGCGGTCGGCTCTGCGCCGTCGCTCTGCGGACCGCCAGGCGAAGGGGCTTTTTCCCTTGTTTTTAACTGTTTCACCCGCAGAAAAGCAATAGAGGAAGGACCTTTCCCATCCCCTTTAACCCTGCCCTCGCTGCCTGATGCCGCGGAGG